TTGCCAGAATTTTTTAGTTATTCTGAATATAAAGGCAATAAATAGAAGAATGGTTTATATAATTAAATTCGATAAAAATAATTCTTCTTTTAAAAAATGATATTCATAATTAAATATACACGGCATTAATATAAACTATACTGCATTTTAAAGCTACATTTACGATATTATAAAATGTTTATATATAAATTAATTTCAGATTTTTATTATAATATTAATGTTTTTAGATTCCTTTATATGTTACATATTTCAATTTCCAAATGACTTTTTATTTTTTTTTTCTATGAACATAATATTGTTAGTATTTTTTAATCACAACTATTAATTCACCAATATTATATTACTGCTATTCACCGATTGTACTACACAAACATTAATTTATTATCAACCTTTTCTAAATAACTATTTTCTCTGCATACTGTAAAGGAAATAATGTAGATTTAAAATACAAATACATTATCAATTACTACGCGCATGGAACGTGCAATGTATGATGTTGTATTCTAGTTTGTGATCCTTTGAAATTTACATTTAAAAATATTATATTATATTCAGATATTGAATTCAATGAAATTTACTTAATTTTTATGTTAAAATTGTAGATAAATTAAATTTTAAATTTATAATAAAATATCTATATAAATAATAATAATCAGTTCTTAATTAATAATTATCCATTGTACTTTATTGCTTATAATATTTATAATAATTAAATATATTTCTAATATATTTCTTATATTTATAAGACTTAAAAAAAATTATTTAAGCTACTTCTATAGTAGTAGAATAATATTGCATTACTTTCATAAGATTTATTCTGCAGTATTATGAAATAAAATTTATTATCAATGTCTAACGTATGTTTGATGAATTATTTTGTATTGACTCTATGAGTAAAACGAAAAGATCCTAAGCTTTACCTAATATAATGCATAAACAGTTTTTATTTATTGCTTACTTCTGATTTTATTTCTTAGTAAATCATTCAAGTAACATTATGAACAGCGATAATATTACAAAACAATAAACGTATAATTATAAATTTAACTATTGTCGCCATTCGTTAGATATAATTTTCACAAGCACAAAAATGATATTACTTATTATAGGGCTTGGAAACATTTAACTAAATCCTGTTTTTATCAATGCAATCTATTGGCGCATAGTATCTATCCCATTACATAAATGATTTAATCTTAAAGAATGATTCTCGAAAAAATGAAAATTGCAGGGAATTGCTTCTAAAATATTACAGTAAATTGAAGTTTATTTATGTGATTGTACACATTTGTATCACAGCAAACATTATATTCTATCACTACCACTGCATATCTAGATTTAATAAAATAAAAATCAGTAATGTGTTATTGAACTTAGCATGTGTATGATAACAGGTATAACTTATTAATTATATGTCACTATTTAAAAATATAAGTGCGATAAATTAAATGGATACTTATTTTTAAAAATTATATTCTGAAAATATAATAAAAATAATATATCACTATGTATTATTTACAATTGATTCTTTGCAATTTATAAAATGCTTATTCAGTAATTTTCAGTAACACTTTTTAATTTAAATGATTAATTCATTTTTAATTTGTACATACATATTGCTTATTTATAAATACTAATTATTATAATTTACATTCAATTAAAATTATAATAAAATATAAATAAAAATTTTGTAATTACTGTAGTAATTTTATGAGCATCTTTTATTGCATAAGTATTATTTATTATAAAGTATTGTTTTTAAAAAGTTTAGTGCATTAGATCATACTTTATGAATCATTTAATTTTAAATTAAATTTTCTACGTAGAAATTGATTAATATTTCTATAAATGATTATTTTCGAAAATATTTTATTATTAGATAATTAAAATTCTATAAAATAATTACTTTAATACGAATCTAATTTCGAATAAATTAAATTATTCGAAAAGTACGAGATTATCGCAAAAAATAATTTATATTAAAATGATTATATTAACTAGTTTAAAAAGTTAGGTATATAAATTGTAAGTTATTCAATAATAAAGAATACCGTATTTCTTATTCCTCCATAAAAAGTTATAATTACAGGTTTATTAAAATTAAATTCCCACATCAAATCATTTTAAAAATGAATAAGAAATACAGAAAATTAAGAACTCGTTAATGAGTCATTTATAACTTTTTAAAACATAAACTTTATAAACCACTGGCATCCAAAAGAAAGATATTAACGAAATCAGTAAAATAGTTGAGAAAGCATGCCATTCTTTTTAATAAAAAGATCCATAAACTCAGCATTATAAAGTGCTAAAAAGAGGAACGTTCTCAGGTACACAAAGAATTAAGTCAGGTATCGGCCACCACTTAAAAATAAAGGTTCACATAAAATTCTATTCTAACCGGCAGCTCGTTGATAAAATTTATTAAGAAGATACTCGAGAATCTCGAACCTGTAGGCTTCCTCTCTTAGGATATTATTACATATACTGCCGGTGAATTTTGAACATTTGCGGACATGCAAATATAAATTTTGTGGAGTAGTGGAGAAAGAAGGGATATAGAGAACCACTTTTCAAACAACCACGACCACCTCGGTCCATGAAGAGATCCTTCGACATCAGGCTCCCCTAATAGCAATTAAATATCCACGTGGCTAATTGGCAATTATCACGGGCGTCGAAGCTTATACTTTTTCCAACCTACCAGGTAGCCAGTGTTGCTACTTCTTTCTTCCTATACATTCGATTATTTGGGTCCATATACACGTGATGATATGTTCATGTACCTTTCTTTTTCTTCCCTATAGGTCTATTCATAAAGTTTGCTGTTTTTTATCGTACATGCATACGCTTATTATGGAGTTATCTGAATGCCTGAATGTACGTATATGTATACATTTGCTTCGTGAGTAGATGAATCGAAAGTGTAAGACTATCGAGAGCAAAAAAAGAAATGCAAGTCGAAGAAAGGTGATGACAGTAAAAACTAGTTTATTTGGGACTGTCCTATAAATTAGGATCAGATCACCACCAGATAAGGATGTCCCACTAACACCCTGGTACCCAAAAGACGTTCCCCACTCTGTCGCTCTTCCTTTTCCTTGCTTCTTAGTACGCCTTTTTTATTTTATTTTTCTTCATTTAACTTGTTTCTTTAGCTCCTCAACTAAGCTTTATTTATTTACATTTAAAATTTTAATTCTACGTAAAATACTTTTAAAAATAAAAAATACTAATTATAATTTATTGTAAAAACGATAAATATCTTTGTTAAAGCATAAATCACATATTTTCATACTACTCTTTATTCTTTCTTTCTTGCATTCGCATGGTTCATATTTATCCATGTATTTTTTCTCCTTCTGTTTACTTATTTACTTGTTTCATCCTGCACATTTATCTCTTTGAATATTCATTTCCACTGCAGAAAGTGCCTAATTAGATGGTAATTCAAGGAAAGAGGATAAAAAATATTTTTGATATTTTTTTATATAAACCAGATAAAAAAATATTGCGAAATGTTCCTAAATTTCTGAAACATTTAATTCCTAAGATTTTATTTCTTTTGTTTTAAAAATCAATCTAAATACTATTTCATATTTTTTCATAAGATGCATATGATTATAAAGAAATAATTCAATTCAGGGTCTGAATTTTATATCACTCAATGAAACTGTTTAGTTATCATGCTGTATTCAAAATATTTTATATTCAACGATTAATTACTAGTTAAACGTTTTTAATATTATATTCTATATTTAATCAGCCAATTACTGAATAAATTTTTTAATACATTTTATGTTTATTATATAAATTTACATAAATATTTAGAATTATTATAATAATATATAATAATATAGTTAAATATATATTTAAGAGTTATATAATATTATATTCGAAAGTAAATTTCAATTGGTATAGAACATAAATATATTTTAATCAATTATTTTTATTATGTAAAAAAAATATTATGAATGAAAATCTTTAATTTTATAAACTCATTTAATACCGCCGTTGTAAAATCTTAAAAACTAAAGAATTTATAGGATAATAAAAGCCATGGAATTGCTATTATGTCTAAAAATAATTGCATGCATTAAGCGTTCACTCAATTCTTCCCTTTCTTCTTTTGTATTTTTTTCTTTCTTGTTCAATTTTAACTCATAGTAAGAATAACTTGAGATGGCTCAGTGAAAGATATTCAGTTTAAAGTTAGTGGTAACTCGCTTGATCAGAGCAACACGACAATTTCAGGTGTGTCTCGTAAGCAAAGAGTTAAATGAGTGCAAACGAGACGACGTCGAAATAGCCGATACGAATAACAAACGCACACGAGTAAATGAAATAGAGAAAAGAAAAGAAAGTGGAGAAGAGAAAGAAATAAAGGAAAGAAAAGGACAGAAAGAGAATGAGAAATTATAATACTGAGACGACATACAAACGTAAGAGGAAGAAAAAAACAACACGCAGCGATTTCATTCACTGATTGAAATCTCCATCCATTTGTTACTGTCAAGAAGGTGGCGATAGCCTTTCTCTCTGAACTACCCACACGCTACTCAATAGTGGGGAACCCCCCGTGCGGTTCCTATTATTTTCGACAACTAAGAGGTAAGAGATTCACTAACTTGCTCAACCAACTAACGACCAATCAACATGCCAAGATATTAATTTCTTATCGACTGTTTAAAGGTGTTTGGCCCAAGGTTTGATTTTCATTTAAACTGAGTATTGAATCTCTTCCTTCGTGCGAATGAGGACCATCGATTAGGAACGATCGAAAGCAGGCTAAGGGATTCTTGCTTGTATAAACTGTTACTTTCAATGACTTACCTATATCTCCTTATAACTTTCTATTGTTTTTGTTTATATTTTACTTTCAGTAAGAAAGTGATATTAACAGATATAATAATAAGAAATAACTACATAAACATTTTATATACAATTACTCGGAAATATTTTATTGTTTAAATTATATATAAATATAAATACCAACCATAAAATCGATGGAGAAATTTTATAATTCACGAGTCTCTCTTAAACTGGTGACACGAATCCACTACCCATAGTCTGAGATCTAAAATGATAACATAAACTTTTAATTAAAAATTAGTGGTAGTTAATGACTTGTGTAAAAATATTGAAAAAATGTTAAGATTAAAAAAGTATTAATAAATAATGAATAAATAATAATATTATATATTTATATACTTCATAATTAATTAAGTTTATATAAATGAATTGATTAATCATTGGAATTCTCATATTTATAAAGCAAGAAACGAAATAAATATCATCGTTCTATTAATTAGAAACTTTTTTCACGAAAACAGATTTTAGGTTCGGCAAAATGGATATTATTTTAAATTTACAAAACTTTCTATGACAAATATTAAATATCAATAAGAATTTTTAAATATCTTTTATATTTGTAGAAAATTTGACTTTATTTAGAAATAAATAATGTAATTTTTATTTGTGATAAAATCTCACCCTTTATAAAAAGGCTTGAATGCCGTAGTTGCTTCCGTTGGAGGTAAACTGGCAGTGGTTTGATGTTGATGTAAAATGGAGTTTTGCGAAGACACTGAGGAAAAATCCTTATGCGGTGAATTTTGCAATCTTGAACTAAAATTTGTATTACCAGTATTTGCTACACTTCCATTATTTTGCGTTTGCATGTAAACACTAGTTGCCGCACCGACGGATGTATGATTTGCTCCTGTTGCCGTTACTGTATAATGTCCAGAATTCGTACCCGCATTATTGGGGGTATTGCTGTTGCCACCAGGGCAATACCCTGCTGGAGGGCCCTGGATCACGCCATTCGGTGTGGCTACTTTCATATTGGGTGGCGTCTGTGGTGGAGTATCGGTACCAACTTCGGGAAACCCCGCCGCTGCGGATGAAGAAGCACTGGATACACTTGAACCGGATGAAGAGTTAGGATTATAGTGAAGTTGGCCACCAGATGACGATGAAAGGAAACCACCATACCGAGTAGCAGTACTTGAATATGGCGCTGTCGCTGCCGATGATGGACTCATAGAAGCAGATGAGGGTAGTGCAAAGTTGTTTATGCTACTACTCGTATCGGATGTTACACCACCTCCAATCCAAGGTTGTTGTGAGTGATGATGTGATTGGCTCGATAACTGATGATGTTGATGTTGTTGTTGTTGTGGATGGTGTTGATGTTGTTGAGTATAATGCTGTTGCTGGTGCTGATGATGAAGGTGATATTGCTGATGGTGTGGGTGCGAAGAGGGTGGTGGTGTTTTACATGCAGCGGTATCAGCTAAAGACCAAATTTTTGGTTTTGCTCCAGCAGCACTGCAATCAGATTTTATTCCTTCGTCCTTCATATGATCTTCAGAGCCATAGCCTTGATGGTGATGGTGGTGATGCATTGTATGATGATATGAGTGCTCAGCTGCTCGACGAGGGTCATCTTCAAGATCTAAATCATCCTCGTCATCGAGGTCTTTATCATGTTGCATGTGTTCTGCTTTTACATGACGCAAAGGTTCTATAAAAACGTTATAATAAACAAAATGTATAAGATCGGCAATATTAATTAGGTTAAATGCAAAAAATTAAATACTATACATAGTAAATTTATAATTATTTAAGTTTTCTTAATTATTTAGTCAATGAAATCTAATTATTAAATTTCTTTTTTATATAGTATATCATTTTTAAAACCTCAATATAAATTATAATACTCATTATTTATGTATAGCGTACCAAATTAGTTGTTTACTTATTTAAGAATATTTATTTTGATCAAATATTTATTTGCCTTTAAATTATTTCGATATACTTTCGAAAGCTTCACAAGTTTGCTCTGACAACAATTACTAAATAGACTTATTATAAATGTTTTCTATGTTTCCTTTTCGTGAATTAAATTTTAAATGAGAAGAGAATCATTGTTAGCAATTCACTTGATCGCGAAACATCCACTTAGTTAACAGAGAAAAAACATTAAGGCCTTTAGGTCTCTTGGTCCTTCTTAATTAGCAACAGAGAAAAAGATAGAGAGAGAGAGAGAGAGAGAGAGAGAGAGAGAGAGAGTGTGTGTGTGTGTGTGTTATCAAGAGTGAGTAAGATTGGCACAAAGTAGAGTATTGATGTTAATGGTTCTTGGTCCCCGTGGTGTGAAAGAGAGACTGGAGATGCGTGTCATTGTTTGGGGTTCAAACGAAAAGAAGGGATGGGCATAAGCTCTAAGTTCAACGCTAAAAAGGGTCTCGAAATAGTTACGTAGCTATGCACCATGAGTCACAGAGTGAGACAACGAAACTCGCTTTGCGCCCTTATGGATTGAATTCGGAGAGCGAGGGATGCTGCGAAATAAAGGGAGTGAGACAGGGCGTCGACACTTAGGGGTGCAAGAGATTTTAGCTTCCCTCGAGTGGTCTATTCTCCTTTATATTTATCTCTCTCACTCTTGGCCTTTCTTACACTGTGTACGCGGTCTCTTCTTACTTAGGTTATAGACTCTCTTGGGGCACTCGAAAATAGCCCCGGACCGTCTGCCAGCCAACCAGTCAGTCAGGGGTGAGAATTTCATTAAGAGGTTCGAATGAGCCGAAGTCGAGGGATTACTTGATGGGTCGTCAAGCGATAATTCCCAGGCTAGAAATGAGAGAAAGAGTGATGAAGAAAGAGAACGAAAATAAGAGTGGAAATGGGTAAGAGAGAAAGAAACTCTAGAAAAGTCAAGAACAAAATGAAAGTTTGACAATTGCTTCGACCAATGGGTGAAGGTAGCGTGAATGAAGTGAGCAATGTTGACTACAGAGAAAGATGGATAGTTTTGATTTAGGGTAGATGGTGAAAACCCTTATAAAGAGAAGCTTATAGGCCAACTAAATAGATACTGCCGAACAGTCCACAAGTGGCTCTTTAACTTTTGACCCTCCGCGTTGCGATCGGCCGTTAATCAAATTATCCCAACCAGCCGTTCCTTCCAATAACGAGACCGTTTATGTGAAACCCACAAAAATAAAATAATACGTGATTATAGCGACAAATTCACATATCACAAATATTTATTAAATAAAAAATAAACAATTTTCTATTCCAAAATTACAAATCTTATATTTTAATTATATTTTCAGAACTATTTCATTTATTTAAGAAAATTATTATGTATTTAATGTCTAAGATAAGTTTTATAATACACAAAAAATTATTAGATTCAATAATGTATAAATTAAACACTATTTCACTTTTATACACAATTTTTAATGACTTCTACGCAGATTTGCTTGATTAAAACATTACATTACTTGAATCTTAATAATAAATGATTATCGATTTATACTTATAATATGCTCTTTTTTGCAAAAATGTAGGTTCTAATATTATTAATTTCACTCAATGTAATTTATTTAATCAAATAAAAATCTAAAATATAACATAAGATTTCGGCAATGATTAATATCACACATAATAATTATAAAAATATATCAAGAAATCAAATCAATATAAATTGAATTAATAAATTAATTGATTAATTTTCAAATGAAATAGTTATATTGTTCTATAACAGATTCGTTAGAAAAATTTGTCAAAAAATTATACATTTTATGATGATCAGAAGTGAAATCTTAAAACAAATATATTTTATAAGCAACATTAACTTGTTATTTTTTAACTAACATATTGTATTACACTTATGAGTTAATAAAATATTTATACTTTTAAATATAATATAGAACATTATTTCTTCTTAATTATGTAAATCAAAATTATATATATATATATATATATATATATATATATATGACTTAGGCATAAAGGATTAAAAATTAATAACTGCATAAAAATAAGATGTAATTATAAAAAATCATATTCTCATAAAAGTCATTAATTTAAAAATATATTGGCAAGGAGTACAAAAAATAGGTAATATATAATAAAAATTAACTAGGATACCGAAATAAGATATTTAGATTCAGTAACAGCCCTGATATAATCGAATTATGGTAGTACAACAATGGTCATAGAAAAATACCATGCCATTTGTAATACCGCGGGTACCACACATTATTATAGTATAGGGCTCTATTATTTAAACAGTTTTCTAGCACAGCGAGACTACTCTTTACCCTCTTTCCTAAATTTTTATTCTATATACCTTTTGTCATCCAGTTATTTTTCATTTTTCATATCACCTATTTTCTTTCTATTTCATTATTATATTATGTGGTAATGAACGTAAGTAAATATTTCATAAAATACGTAACGAATGAAAGAAATAGAGATATATGCCTATATAAATAAATAATTAGATATTTAAAATTAAAGATGTATATATTTAGATAATATATAGATACGTAAATCAATATATGAACAGATATATAAATATTTATACATAATATTGTACATAATAAAAGAAAAGAAGTCTTAAAAGAAATAAGCTAATAACAGAAAACTTCATTTTATTTGGATTAGAAATTTGCAATCCATGGACAATGAAATAGCTATTACAAAGTATATTTAGTATTGCATTAATTAAGTAAAATGTTATTTCATTTTTAACTTTGATTTATGAATTTCCCTATAATATAATTATATTTCTACGTATAATATTATATATTACTTTTTTACTAAAGCTCTGAAAAAAATAACAATGCAGACTAAATAATGAAATTAGAGTAATTAATTCGTCAAATAAAATTTATTCATATTTGCCTACGTATATATAAATTATTAATATGTATCAATTCTTCTATACATATACAATTTTTCAATAAAATGAACCAAGTTTGACAAAGAGAAAAGTAGGTAACGATTCAAACCATTAATCTTCTTGTGCAACAACCCATAACCCGTCGTTATGTTTACCCACATATAAACCATTATGTCCGCCCTCTCAATATCAATAACTTACTGGAGCAACGGTTATTTTCTAGAATTTGGTCTGCACTCAGCTTTGCAATAAATAGTATTTGAAAAGAGCAATCCAAAAAAATTTGTAAAAAGATAATTTGAATGATCCAATTTTGATAAATTTTAAAATTTAATGAGATTATATTTCAATACGTATACTCATAATTTGTAAGTTTTATGATATTTCAATATTAGATGTTAATTTAAATAGCCCTATACTACCAAACAAATTGAATATGCAAATATAAATAATTTAATTTTTAAATTATAATATATACTTCAAAAAGAACTTGTAATTACGAAAATCATAATTTAAAAAAAAAATTTGAAAAGTATACGAATATATGTTAATAATTAAATTATGTTAATAACGAAATCTGAACATTATATACAGGAGGTCATTATAACTCTCTATAGATACAGATTCATTTTAAAAAACAATAATTATTTAATTAAGCTTAAATAAATGAATAGATTAGGCAAATAAGAAATTCTCAATGATTAATTAGTTTCGAATAATTACTTATTGGCTACCTGATCGCATTTAACTACGCTTGTATCTTACTTTAAATTCTAAATTAACACTCTTTTAATTATGATCTTCAGTAACTAAAGTAATAGCTTATGTATATGTATGTGTAAACGGACGTTTGGGGTATAATGGTTATGCCTAATGAATCGATTATTTCATTATGCACGAGGGGACGATTCTATATAACTTTGATTTCGATTGGTCGTATAGCAGATGTCTTTTGACATATAGTCGTAGAAATACGTGACTAAGTTAATAATGACTCCTATATCTAGTAAAATGTATCCTTTATTTATAGTCTAATGATTTCTTGAAATTTTATTATTCACTAGTACCCTACATTGTCTTAATGGTTAATATGATTGATAAATCAATAATTGTTTTATCCATAAATTATTTTATTAATAAATTTTCTTTAAGTAAAAAATCGAATTTCCTAATACATCTTTTATATAATAAATAAATAAGAATTATAAGAATAATTGAACCTATTTTTATTGTGGTATTATGATAATAATAATATATTCAGTATAAAATATAAAAGATACATCCAAGTATAATTACCATATAATTATACCAAGTATACTTATGAAATCTTACTTGTTCCTACAAAAAAAAATCCATCAAAAATGCACATTACAAGAGATTCAAGAAAAACTGAGTATATCATCCTTTAATAATAAAGATTTTATATATGATTAATAAAATAAAAATAGAAATTGATTAAAAATCCTTTCTATCAAATATTATAAATGATCAAATCATATGATCAAGAAATTTTTTTTTAAATAATAGTATTTACATTCAATTACTTTATAATAAGTAGTATTTAAATTTAAAAAAGTTTGTACAAATTGTTCAATTTTTTAATTTTATATACAGTGATTACCTATGCTTCATTACTTATTAATAATAATTCAATCATGAGTAAATTGACTTATTCTTTGTTACAATTTAACTAGTATTTATTAATTTAAATAGTAATATTACTTTTAAGTTATAAATATTGAAAATAAAAATTAATTAATAAATTCACTTAAGCAAATTGAACCTTAGCTAACCTACATATATTTTATTAAATCTTTATAATATAAAAAGTTAGTTTATTCGAATTGACATCAATTTCATACAACTCTTTTTACTTTAAATATTATGAAAAGAAAAAGATTAACAGTCCACCTTACCATTATCGTCAAGTCCTCGCCTGACATCATCACCTACTCTCTCGACTCTATTATCGCTGACTTGATCATCTTTATCTTTATTATCCTCAGAATCTGTGAGCACCGCGTCATCATCGTCATCTGTTTTATTCTTCGGCTCCCATGTCATTTTATTCTCCTTTTTAAGTCGTCGCCTAGCATTTGCAAACCACGTAGACACTTGCGTAAGTGTCATTTTTGTGATGATTGCTAGCATGATTTTCTCACCCTTAGTTGGATAAGGATTCTTTTTGTGTTCGTTTAGCCACGCCTTAAGGGTCGCCGTCGACTCTCTTGTTGCATTTTTTCGCCTTGCGGCAAGATCATAACCTGCACCATAACTGCAAAAAAAATTATATCTTTTTTAAATCTTAAACAAAATATTTAAAATATATTTTTAATAGTTTATATATGAAAATGAATTTTATTCCTGAAACATTATTTATGCCTAGATATTTTTCTTTAATTGCGTATTTGTTTAAATTTAATTTAATACAAATTTGAATCATTATTGTACAATAATAAATTTCACACATTTATTCATAGAATTTTTTTCATTAAACATGTATTGAAGGATTTTCAATATTATTAAAATATAATATTTTCTTAGTGATATTAAGAAATAAGACTATTTACTTAAGAACTAATTAGGTAAGTATTTACTATTTGTTATCGTTATATTGCAATAAGTATAAAATTATCATATCTGTTTATTAATATTATCAATTCAAAAGAACTTTAACATCAATTAAAGTTAAAATATAACAATGAAATACTTTATACAATTTGGGAATAAATTAATTTTCAAGAAACAATACTCCATTCAGACTGCTAAGTAAAAAAAGGACAAAGAATTAATGTATAATCCCAAGTCGTCATTAAACCTATCGACGAAATAATGTTAAGTTGATGAAAGAAGAAGAAAAATTTACGAGAATGAGAAGGTCTATTTATGAAATCAATCAATCTTTGACGATCAATCACTGTTTCTTTGCGCTGCATACTTTGAACTTCCTTACATTCGATAATTTTCCTTCATTCCTTTCACCCTACATTGGTTTCGTTCGTAATTTTTAATCGACAAACAATCATGTAAATAATAAATTGTCTTTTCTAAATGAGATTTTGTACATTCCGACTATTGCACATAATTGTAGGTCACTTTCTGTTCTCAATGTACTTAATCTTCACTATGATATAATTTATAATAATCATGAAATAAAAGGTTTCTAATGTACTAGAATAATTTATCTGATACTATTGTCAACTAAAAGAATAAATTACAAAAGAAAAGCTTAAAGTATGTTTAACAATTCATATGATATTGTTTAACAATTTATTTGTATATTTTATTCATAATGTAATTTATTTATATATCATCTGTAAGGAATTTATATAATTAAAAAATATATTTAAGAAATTTATTTATATATGTTTATTAATATATTTGATTGATATAATCATCTGATACTTCAATGTATATAATTATGAAATACGTAAAGTATATAATTTTTTTTACTAATTCTATTTATGTAAGGTTTTATTAAAAATGAATTAAATTTGGTATGTTATAATATCAATTATAAAGATATTTATTCAATAATAATATACCTTTCAATGAAAAATAATAAAGATTAAATTTAAAATTAGTTGAGTGTGAAGACATATAAATCGAATATTGAACTGGATATGTTTCAGTCATGCCTCTCCCTATATCTTCAGACTCACGCTCCGTAGTTCTTCCTTTACGTATCTCTTTGTTTACCGGGAACTATCTACACATACGCATGCGTCTACATTGTCGAAAAACGAGAGTATCGGAGTATCAGGGGCGAAGAAGGAGAGACCGAATGTGAGAGGGAGCGAAAGAGGTCGAGGGGTTGATACTCGCGTACGCTCCTAGCGAATATATACGGAGAATAAACTCTCGCAGTAGCGTGATTCCATCAGGTTCCCGCACTCACTCACCGTAATGGCGATCCGATCGATTTTCGCCCTGTATTCTAACTCTCACTCCCTACTGTTTTTCACTCTTAGGTCCCATCGAAACTGTTCGAATGTAAAAATATCAGTGTTCCATATATATATATATATATATGCATACATTTAAATTATAAAATATTCAACTATGCATTTTATAATTACATGCAAAATCCTATTTATAGCTAATTGTATAGCTAATGAACATGTATAACTAATATTAAATTGTTATTCACTATAAATAATTGCCTTTATTTTAAACTACGTATTTTAATTAAATTTTTGCTTATAAAATTTTTTCTCTTAATGCTATCATTTCTAAGGAAATTGCAACCAAATATTCTTTAAGCTATTGATACATTTTTTAAATGAAACACAGATTTTATTTATTTATTTATTTCTATCTATGTTTCTTTCTATATTTATTCTATCTATGTTTCTTTCTATATTTATTCTATCTATGTTTATATCTATATTTCTTTAAAGTATTTAATTAGCTTAATTATAAAAATATTAAATCTTATAATTTATTTTAAATTAATAAAATATAATTTTTAAGTAATATAATTATTTTCCTTGATTCTTTAAATATAAATTTGTATTTTAATTGTACAATTATGAACAATTAACATTGAATATAAATTTTATTTTGCAAGTGTGTATTGATATTATTTTCTTAATTAATATGATTGTGATCTTGTTTTCTTTCTTTCGCATATCTCAGTCATTTTTTAAATATTTTGTTGAAATAGTGCACTCGTTTTTGCTTTGAATATTTATAATTGAAAATTCTAACTCACGAAAAAACTAAATATCTAAAGTTAGTAGTATGAAAATAGAGAAAGAGAAGAAATAGTATAAAAGTATACGTCAATAAGCCAATCGTAAAACTTGAAAGGAGCCAACTACAGATATTGTAAATCCAATGACAACATCTAAGCTTGTGTTCATTCTTGTTTAACATAAGTATATAAATGGTATAGTAACTTAGTACGCTTTTTATATTTGATTTTCCTACTCTCTGACTGTAAGTGATGAGTTTTTTTAATGAAAATCATATGGCTTGATTGTGATAAATAATATTCCTGCAAAATATTGGAAATTTAACTATTCTTTATAATATTAAAGCAAGCTTATCGTTTGGAATTATATATATGATTAAAATATATTATAAAAATAAAATATTTAAAACATTAACATTTTAAAATAATTTAACTACTTATAATTTATTAAAAATATTCTTTTAATAAACGTTTGTTTTTAAAATAAATTGTTTTATATGTAATACTTTACGATTTATGGTACATCATTTAATTATTAAGAATTAAAATCAATTTAATTTTATGATACGATTTCTCCCACAAAGTAAATATTCATCTCTATACAGCTTTACACATTCTTTTAACAATTCCTGAAACACTGATGAATCTTCAATAATTAATTTCATACAAAATAAAATCAATCTAATATATTCATGATATAATAAACGATCAAATATAATGTAAGACTGATCCATCAGTTGAACCAAAAATTCTTAAAATATCTCAACATTTCTCGTTAAATACCTAAAATAAGTGTACCAATCGATCTCACTTTTTTCACTACTCGCCACAATTTTATCACTCTCTGTCATTTTTGTCTTCCTTCTCAACGATTGCTTTTATGTAGTTCTCGCTCTTAGCTTTACTATGTACTCATTTTCGTGAACGAATTAATCGAGATTGCCATTGACCGAGAAGAAAAAAGAAATGTAGAGCTTAATGCTACGATTGTCTGGAAAATTGAGGGAGAAAAAAGAACGCGAGAGAAGAGAACGCATAAACGATAAAGCATGAGAACATCGAAGAAAGAGACAAATGCTTTTCACCCTCTATTAAACTCCCTCCAGATAAGGGAAAGACGGAGCATATAATGTGCCAATTTTTTCCAGCTTTCTCTCTTTTTCTCTCTCCCTTCATCCCCCTATTTTTATTTTATTTATTATCTATCTATATATCTTTATTTAACTAGTATCAATATAGAAAAAAAGTGGAAAGTGTTTAGAGACAATAGATTATAGAGATTTATTTATTAGTTATTGTATATACATACGCATGGAGGTGATTTTATATCCTGCCTTTCTATATATATATATATATATATATATATCGAAATGCAGAGAAAAATTAATATAAGGTTTGATAAAGATTTAAATGTGTAGTTAAATAATCATTTGTAATTCTTTTAATAAAATGATTATATATGTTATAATGTGTAATATGTATATCTGATAATCATTAATACAGAAGTGTCAAAGATTTGATTTTCATTCAATATTAAAATATGAGGGTTTTTTATAAATTTATTTTTCAAATATAACAAAATAATTTAATTAATTAATTTAATATTCATATTAATAACTATAATTTAATAATCTACTTAATTTTTTAGATTTTAAATTGCAATACTATATTATAACAATCATACAAAAAATCTTAATTAAAAATAGGACATATTTACTAATAATATCGCCTTTAAGCTATCATAAAAATAAAGATAGCAAATGTTATAAACGATAAATGTAGGTAAAAAATGAACTTATAAAATCATATATGTATTAAAGTTTAAGTACACTTAGTTTGAATCTACTATAAAATGGATTAAATAGAAATAAAAAACATATTTAAACTTATTTATAATATAATATATGATATTATATTATAGATATTATAGTTGGATATATATTTGAAGTAATTTGATTGGATTGACTTTTCACTAAAAAATCTTCACAAATATAACAAAAAATAAGAAAAGAGTGAACTTTGAACGTACATTATAATCTATAACAGCTGCATCATTATAATGTTGGTGCAAATGTGCTACTCTGCTGAAATTTTAACCAAGTCTGATATTTCAGGTCTGATATTTATGAAAGATTATAAGTCGCGTATCCACAATTATAAGTACATTTATAAATATTCATATTATATTTATACATGTACTAGCAATATTTTTTAAACATTCAAAAAGATTAATTTTAAAAAATTTTTTCAATATTTTTATTTCATTTTTTTCTAATTGACAAACGATTTCAATGAAAATTTGATTTATTATTTATCTATACTATATGATATATTTAATTTATTTACATATTATATTATATTTTCACTTAAATATATAATAATCTTTAAAATTCTATAACAACTAATAGGATTATTAGTATTTTTTTCAAGTATCATATTTGTATCAGTCTTTTTGAATTTCAGATTCTGTCTTCATATCTTTCTCTAATTGTTACTCTTACTACTGCTACTCATTACTCTCTCTCTCTCTCTCTCTCTCTCTCTTGCTTTCTTCAAATCTAAGAGACAAATTCCACTGA